ATTGCATAACCGCTTCAGAATCGACATGGGGAAAATGTTCAAATTGCAATATCGGTTATAAATGTCGGGAACAATATGTATACGATGTTGTTGTATCGACATTTGTAAAACAATATTATGTAACATTCATAGATATGTTCTTCAACACATTGTTCACGAATTTTAAAACCAATATTGCTACAATATTGTAGCTGACAATCTATATTCAGCTCAGGTTGAACCAATATTCCACCAATATTATCATTCCAATATTGTTTGTCCAATATACTCATATATTATTTATCACATGTACGATATATCTAAATCGGCCCAATATGAAATCGGGTTCCAGCCAATATGATGTGCTACCTGGGTTGTATGAAGGCTTGAACTTTCAGTGGATTCAATAAAGATAGGTATACCTACCTGAATCAACTCATTGATAATAGATACTGGACATGGAATATTAATACATCATTATTTGTTCCAGGAGGTTATTGATGAGAACACAAACTTGATTATTATATCATCAGATCAGAGATGTTTGATATTCCAACATATTTTGGCTTCTTCGGAATCTATAAAAGATTGTATGCAGGCTTTAACTTCCAGTATAGATACAATAAAGGTACTAGGTAGGAATCAAACCATATTGATAGTAGGTATACCTACTGGACATAAAATATCAATACATTATTTGTTTCAGGAAATTATCGAGAACACAAACTTGATGATATCATATTATCAGAGCTGTGATGTTTCATTTCAAGGAATTTTGGCTTCTGCGGAATCTATAGAAGATTGTATGCAGGCTTGAACTCTCAGTAGATTCAATGGAGGTAGGTATCTAAATCAAAACATTGATAGTATAGGTAGGTTCTGGACATGAAATATTAATACATTATTTATTTCAGGAGGTTATTAAGAACACAAACTTTTGATGCTATCATCAGAGCAGAGATGTTCAAATCAAAGATATTTTGGCTTCTTGGGAATCTATGAAAGATTCTATGCAGGCTTGAACTTTCAGTAAATTGAGCATCAGAAAGTATGTCCAGGGTTCAGAAATCACAAATGATAAGAAGAGAACTCACAACAGAATAAGAACAAAACAAAAATCATCCTAATGTAGTATTATGTTGATGATGAGTTTTCTCTGAGGAAGAAAGGAACAAGGGTAGGTGGATCAAATCATAGATATTACATGGATATGAGATATTGAATCATTGTTTGTTTCAGGAGGTTATGGAAAACACAAACTTGATGTTATCTATAAAATATTGTATGAAAGCTTCAACTTTCAGTAGATTCAGCATTAGGAAGCATATCCAGAGTTGAGAAATCAAAAACAACATATAGATAAATATTACCAATGGGCAATAACTTCTAGTAGTGCTCAACAAGAAGCTGAGATACATTTTTTCAAAACGAAACTCGAGAATCTTCACCAATAAGTTATAAATATTAGAATGTAAGTTTTTTATTTAAACATATTATTATTCCAGGAAAATTTCACAAATATCATGATATCCAAATATTTTCAATAAAATTTCATTTTTATCAACCTACCCCTAGACATTTTTGAATACTACCTAAAGATGTTCCCATAATGTCCTATGCATACATGTCCCAGAAGACCTTATAGGGATGTTCTAAGACGTTATTAGGATGTAGAGAACGGTAACAGGAGGACGGGCTAGGGACGTCGTCAGGCTCGCCCTCGACGTCCTGAGGACATTATTGTGAACGCCTCAGAAGGGCCTCAAAAGGTATTTGTGCTATCTGGGCTGAGTTCATGAATGCGCTGATTAAACGTACGACCTGTCTGACCGATATATACCTCAGGACAAGATCCACAGTTGAGTTTGTATACCCCTGATTTTTCGAATTTAGAAGTTTTGTCCTTATTATTCTTGATAAACCGTCTCAACGTGTTATTTGTTCTATATGCCACTTTTCTACATAAACAGGACTTAAAAGCATGGAATTTGTGAAAATAGCTATGATGTCCTTTGAGAATATGAGGATAATAATAGTAACTTCGAGAGAAAATTATGTTTTCTGACGCCAATTCCGTCATTTTGGAAGGGTTGAAATTTGTTCAATATGGGAAAATAAACTTTACACACAGCTATTTAAAACACCATCTGTTTTTCTACATGGCACATCTACAGGGTGATTCAAACTTGTCGCCCTCGGTTCATAACGTGAAAAGGAAAACTTCAAATGCAAATTACGTCAGAAGAACATAATCAAAAAAGAAACAAACTTTTTTCTTCATATGGTTGATACCTATGGGACCCTAAAGTTGGCATTCTCAAATGATTCTCAACTGACCCTGCCGTAATAAGAATCAAGTCGGCATGAAAACGAATTGTTTTGTGAGCAATATGAACTGGGATACATTCTGCATTCCTTCGGAAACCGATTATAAAACGAAATCCAGGCCTACTTGATTTTTATTACGATGGGGTGTGATGGGATTTATCCAGATAACTGAGGTCAGAGGGCTCTATCTCATGACCAACTGAAGATAAAAGATGGAAGTTAGATAAAATTTGTTCAGAAGAATATGTTCTTTGTGATTATGAGAAAAAAAATAGTAGCTTTGAGAGAACAATTTGTATTCTGACGCCAATCCAATACCGTCATTTCTGAAAGGGTTGAAATATGTTAAATATAGGAAAATATACCTCACACACAGCTTTTCGAATCCCACTTGCCAGATTTGCATTTTCAGTTCTCCTCTTTTCTGTTACAAGCCAAAGTCGGAAAGTTTGATCACCCCTTACGTCCAATGCACGTACAATTTACGTTCACTTCTGATCGTATGGGCGTGAGTAAACATTCAACGTCCGATGGATGTCCTGAGTACACCACTTTGGGCGTACCTACAGAGGGTGTCCATATTCAGACGTATAATGGATGACTATTTGGACTCACAATGGATTTTTATATCTTAGCTTCCATTTGACGTGCCAAATCGGACGTTGAACGTCCAATGGACGTTCATTGGATGAGGATACCACTATGAACGAACAGTGGATATTTATATGTGGACGTATGATAGATGCTTATATCTTGAAATCAAGTCAAATTATATATAGTTTTAAAGTTATTTATAGTTTATATAGTTTTTGTTGATTGCATAATATATGTATATGAATGTATCGTTGATTCAGTCTACTTTTGATTCTGGATTCTGTGAGAAAACGAAATATAATCAGTACAGCAGAATATATATCCTCTGTAGTCGAAGCTTATAGCTTATAGTAACCGGTAGGGGATATAAAGAGGCCGAATAGGGATTTACTCGAGCGTCGAGGGGACCTATATCAGATTGTGAAGGAAAGATGATTGAATGAGAGAAAAAGGTTATTCAATGTATATTCTTTTACTGTTGGTAGAGCATGTATCGGTATTCAAAAATATGGAAAAAAAAAACATTCACAAAGTTATACTCCAGCGCTTCAGATACAGGGTGATCCACGGTATTAGAAGTAAGTATCTGGAGAACGAAAAGACAGAGCATTCTGAAAATTAGGATGCTCTGATAATCGTACATTGTCTATCCGCCTATGATATTTTCATCGATACAGTGTTGCCACTTCTATCAGAAACAACTAGCAACTTTGTTATCTCAAATAGAACACCCTGTATTTTATTGCATTTTGAGATTCTACCTGAAGACCTGATCTCATCACACACACTTTGGGGTTAGCAGAAATGATTACAAAGGAATAATAGGGTGTACATAAAAAAACGGGATTTTTCAATTTAAGGATTTTTTGTGTCGAAACTATTTATTATTAATCAGAACGGCAAACATGTTCCTATCCTAACTTCTGATTCACTATCTACTGGAATTCAATCGGAAAAAATACAAGGTTTGTAATCGTTCCTGCTAGATCCCAAGTGTGATGCATTGATGGAATCAGCTCTTCAGGAAGCATCTGAAAATGCAATTGAATACGGGGTGCTCTTTTAAAAATAACGAAGTTGCTAGTTGTTTCTGATAGAGGGGGCAACACTGTATCGATGATAATATTTTAGACGGATAGGAACTGTTCAATCATCAAAGCAGTCCAATTTACAGAATGTTCTGTCTTCTTGTTCTCCAGATACTTCTAATAGGCCATTCACCGTGGATCACCCTGTACACTAATATAGAGTGTGTGTCCCACGTGTTTCTGATAAAAAAAATATCAATTTGCTGATTTGCTTGACAAGGGTGTAGTAGGAGGATGGTAGGAAATAAAAGAAAAAAAAATATCTGAGTGAGTCAGATATTGAGAAGGGATTTAAAGTGTGGGTACAAGTATAGCTCATATTCGGAATACTGACAATTTGGACACGACAAAAAATCATGATCAACTTTAGGAAATGAAATGAAATTTGTGACATTGAAGTAATTGAGCTCGCCAGATTATTTCATATAGACGCTTCATCTTGATATTCTTGTCGTATTGACACATAATCTGACGATGATTGTAGGGAATTTCTTCAACATTCCAATGAAACTCGGTATGGTCACCGAACATGTTCACTAGCTACGGTATTTCAGTCATTGAAATGTGTGCGAGGGAGCTGAGAAATCGACACCACACACGAAAAGCAATAAAAATATTTTCAGGTAGTCAAGCAGCACTGAGAGCACTCCAATCCAACTGCTTTGAATCCAGAGCAGTATAGAACTGCAGAGAAACCTCAAACCGGACTGGCACAACGCAAAAACGTTAACCTAGGCTGGATACCAGCAGTGGGACTCTGTAACATGAAAGCGAAAGCGAAAGCGAAAGCGATGGCGATCGTTATCGAAAATTCGTGATTTGGTACTCTGTAGCAAGATTCGGATGTAATCGACGAGACCGAACGTCTACTCGGAAGAATAGCGGAAACGAATATATTTTCAATGCGTTTTAGGTGTTTATAACCTATAATTCCACTTTCTTGTGGCACAGTGAACTTTTGTTTATATTTTTTTTGTGTTGAATCAAAATTCTGGAGATCAATAAAATAAAATGGATAAGAGATTGAAAACTCATCCCAACCAGTGGGCTGCCTTCTTGGACTTCGCCGAAAAAAATCCAGTTGTAGTAACTAGGAAAATAGAAGGACCTTTTGGAAAAGAAAAGTATGAACGGTTGTGGGATGAACTAACTAATATCTTGAATAGCTTGGGATACCTACAAAAACCTAAAGATAAATGGCAAAAAGTAAGTGTCATACCTATGAAGAATGATTATTACTATTTAAAATTTAGGTATACCTACCTAATGACCTTTTTTTTTTCTTTTGCTTATTTACACATAGGCAGTCGCAGATTGGAGGAGTAAAACCCGTGCGAAGGCTGCTGATATTAAGATCCAATTGACAAAAACAGGAGGTGGTGGACAAGAGAGGCAATTAACTGAACATGAAAAAAGATTAATTGGAATTATTGGATGGACTTCCATTAGGGGAGATGGGACAACAGAATTAGGAACTGTAAGTTTTACAACCTCTTATTTGGAAAGAAGCCATATTTTGTAGCATATTAATTTTTAGCACTAGGATTTGAATATCCCCCATCATATAGAAATTTGCTTCATAATTGAAAAAGGCAATATCATTTATGGAATAAATGCTTGCATTACATAATACACTAACCACACTGTTTTGCTAGAATAGAATAGAAATTTATTCAACTACCTTACACAAAATGTTCTGATGACATTTTCTTGTATTGTGTTCATGAATATGAGACTGTTTTAACATGCATGACTGCTTTTTGTGCATCTCAACTGTAGCACAGTATATATATAGAGTTGGCAGAGGAATAATTCCAAGTGTTTTAAAATGTTCTTGGCAGTGATCCCTGTATCCGATATTAGCTAGAATTCCCAAAGCCATCTTTTGAATTCTGAAAATTTGTATTGCATGACATGAATTTCCCCGTAGCACCATATGATATGAACACAGCATTTTCAATTACTGTATTTCAGATACAGCCAACATCAGTGGAAGTATCGGACCTGCAAGAAATGCCCAGTACTTCAAAATCAAACCAAACTGAACATAATTATTCATTCCAAATAATGCCCACACCACTGAGGAATGTTGAAATCACTCCACCCCCACTACTTCCACTTGAACATTCGATTATAAAGGAAATAACTACTGGAGAAGAATCCTTGATAGGGAATGAAGTTCCTTCCTCGAAATCATCAAAAGTTATAAAAAAAAAACAGTAAATGTGAAACAACCACCCAATCCATCAAAATGGAAAGCATCACCTACGAACATTGAAAAAATGCATCAGGAAACCTTGAATGTTTTGGGTGAAATAAATATAAATATAAAAAATCTATCAGATTCCCAAAATGGAATGTGCACTATTCATGAGGAATTATTAGAATTATTGAAAAAAAAAATAACTAACAAAATGTACAAGTTATTTTCTAATTCTTAATTTTTTTTTGAAATCATACTATTATGTTTCTTCATTTTCAATCCAATGATGTTCCATATATTCATTAATTTGTACTTCCTTTCATCTGTTTTTGTACCTGAAGAGTATTATATTTAATTTTAATTCACTTCTAACAAAGTGTACAAGATATTTCTAGTTATTAGTTTTTTTGTTTCTTTTATTTTTATTCTAATAATGTTCCTATTATATGTTGGTAGTTACCTACTTGTGCTTTTTTGTACCTGAAGAACATTTGATTTTATTTAAATTCACTTCTAACAAAATGTACAAGATATTTCTAGTTATTAGTTTTTTATGTCCTTTATTTTTATTCTAATGATGTTCCTTTTATTTGTTTGTACTCACCTACTCATTTTTGTGCCTGAAGAATGTTTGATTACATTTTAATTCACTTTCAATAAAATGTACAAGATATTTCTAGTTTATAGTCTTTTTTTATTATGTCCTTTATTTTATTCTAAGAACATTTATTTGTTTTACTTACCTACTTGTGTTTGTATTTGTACCTGAAGAATATTAGATTTTATTTTTTCACTTTTTTGTTGTATTCCTCCAGTACCTTATTTGACAATGAAATTGTTTCCTTATTGATTAGGTATTTTTGAATTCTTCGCATCACTGCAAAGCTTAGATTTGGCAAGAAATTGGGAAATGCAAACACCATCATGATTTACTACTCATGGTAACAGCCTGCAATTTTTTCAATTGTTATAAAATTCTGAAATTGAACAGTTGTTTGTCTCCTATATAGTATATATATCTTGGTATATATATTGGAATGAATAAAGAAAATCAATTCAGTGAAAAGTATTTTATTCATCAAACTACAATATTTTGCATGTAAAAAACAAGGAATATTTTCAAATAATTGATTAGCTTTTGAATATTTCTCCTTATATTCTCAGAGTTGGAAATATCTGGTTACTATAGAATTTCTTATATGGATCCCTTCATTGTGGATATTTAATGGTACTGCTGGATCATTTCCTCTGAAATTATCTTGGTCTTCTACAACCATACCTTCATCAACTGGAACTCTCCACTTAATGCACATGTTATGCAAGATACAACATGCATTAATGATAACTCCCACCTTTTGAGGTTCATATCGAAGTTTCCGCTCTCCTAGGAGGCAGCGAAACCTTCCTTTCAAGACGCCATTGACTCGTTCGATGCAATTTCTTCCAAGTATGTGAGAATCATTATAACGCCTTTCAGCAGTATGTGGTAAAGCGACCTGTATAGGTGTCATCAACCATGGTTCTTGAGGATAACCAGAATCTCCCAATAACCAATTGTTCCGTTGGCCGTTTCCAAATGCATTTTGAAGATGAACTTTAACTTGTGACTGTCTCCAGATGAATGAATCATGAACACTCCCTGGGAATGTGGCATTAACATTCAATATTAAGAGATTCTGGTCACAAATCAACTGCACATTTTTTGAATGAAATCCTTTTCTGTTCACATAGTTATGTTCTTCATCTCGAGGAGCAATAATGTCTATGTGGGTGCAGTCAATTGCTCCGATAACTCCAGGCATACCACACTGCTCAAAAACCTTGACTTTATTATTGTTCAATTCTTCTCCTTGGGGAAACCTGATCCACTCTTCATGAAAATGATTCTGAATGTGCTCAGAACCTTCGGTAATACACCTACTGAGTGCTTGTTGACTTATTGACAACATGTGTTCTTGACCTACACCTCGCTGATAATTTCCTGTTGCAAAAAATCGCAAGACCGCCAGTATCCTTAGTTCACATGGGATTCTCGTTATTCTTGAAGCATCTTGCATTAATGGTTGGAGTTCTGTGAATAGGAAATGAGCCATCTCCTTATTCACGCGAAATAATTCGATGAATCTTTGGTCTGTTAGACTAAGAGGATCACTTCTGTCACGGAGAAATTTACTTTCTTCTCGAGTGAGACGCAGTTGATTTCTTCGTTGAACAGCATCAATTATTGCAATATTCATCGGCAACATTTTCGATTATGATGATAACTCACTCCTTGAATTTTTTGTTATTATATTATTTTATTATATTATTAATTATGATTTATTAATCATCAATGCACAATCAACATCAATACTTTGACAGTCTTTCACTGACGGAACGGTCGGAACACGAATCACGAGATAATATGCAAATTATTTGTGTATTGTGTTGGCATTACTTTTTTTTTGTGGTGTTGCCAAGTGTAACTTCATCTGTATCGTTTGAGTTCGTATGAAATCGTATGACGATAGCGAAAGCATAACGAACTACATATAGAGTACCGGAAAGCGAAGTCGTATACTTCGCTTCGTTTCGCTTTCGCTACGCTTTCGCTATGCGACACAAGTTACAGAGTCCCACTGCAGGTCACACGGGCCTAGAAGGGAACGAAACAGCGGACGTTCTAGCAAAAGGTAGAAGGGGAGCAAAACATCCTCGAAAACATCGTTCACTGGTCCAGAACCAGTAACCTGTATAAAACATATAGCACTGCCAAGAATGTTAAATCTTTCAAGGCCGACAGCAAATTTTTAATTTTTTTTTTCATCGCTTGAAGCGCACGAAAGGAAAGCCCTATAATGTTCAGAGAACATCGTGCGTTCCTAGGGAGGATAGGGACAGGAGGTAGGTATTCGAATTTCTCTTGAACTTCTGGAAATTATATGTTGTTGGGAATACTTCCTCAGGCAATGAATTCCAGAGCCTAGCCGTTCCATGGATGAAAGAGTTTTGATAAAGGACTGTTTAACATCTTTCGAGGTTGACAACGAGAGGATGTGCTGACTGGGCTTGTCTAGTTCGTCTGACTGGTATAACTAGTGGAGGGATGATGGCAGAGATTTCAGAAGAAAATTTTCCGTGGAAGTATCGATAGAAAAGTGGAAGGTCGCCGACCTTTCTACGGTGTTCCAATAATGTCAAAGAGTGAGTGAGTGTGGCGTCACCCACTAGGCGAATGGCTCTTCTCTATATGGAATCTAAGAGCATCAGCGTATGTTTTGGTGCTGAACCCTATATGTGGGAACAGTAGTCTAGAACTGGCCGAATATGCGCTTTGTAGAACATCAGAAACTGTTGAGGTGTGAAGTAGCTTTTCGCACGGAACAATAATCCAAGATTTCGTGAAGCAGCTTTTGGTGCGATGAATCTGACATGATCATCCTATAAAATAGTGTTGCTGATGTGAATACCGAACATACATATGGTGGGCTTGGTGGAAATGGTGACATTACAATATCGGGCGTACTGAGTTCCGCCTTTCTAGAAAAAATACAGGCTTGAGTTTTGGTGACGTTGATTTTAACTAGATTGTTGGTTTCCCAGGTTGTGATTTCAGCAAGGTCTTCATTGACAGCATTGACGTGCCGGCGCCGTGAGTTCTTAGTTCTCTGGGAAGAAATGGGAAGTCTGGAAGAGAACGCTGTATGGAGGGTACTATCATCCGCAAAGCTGTGGATGGGGCAAGGTATTACTCCCAACAGATCATTGATATGAAAAAGTAATAATGTTGGTGCCAAAATTGATCCTTGTGGAACGCCGGAATTGATGCCAATGGTATCAGACGATACACCGTCCACCACAACGTGAAGCGATCTTAAGATATGGCAAAGCTGGGGTGGTAAGCCGTATGATGGTAGTTTGTGGAGGACTCCTTCGTGCCAAACACGTTCGAATGCTTTTGATATGTCCAATGCGACAGCTAGAGATTTTCCGTGTTCTTCTAATGAAGCTTGCTATAAATGGGTCACGTAGGCAAGTAGATCTTCAGTAGATCTTTTGTGACGAAAGCCGTATTGTCTATCATTGATGATTCCTGAGCTCTACAGATATTTGATAAGCTCAATGGCTTTCTTCATCATTTTGGAGATTACTGATAACGGGGCAATTGGCCCAACAACTGAGCAGGTTCTTGTTTTCTTTTTGGGGACTGGTTGGACTGTAGCTGTCTTTCAGCATGATGGAAAAATACCCGACCTGTACGAGACATTAAACAACTTGCAGAGAATCGGTGTTAATTCTGATGCACATTCTTTTAGGATAATGGGTGGAATTCCATCAAGACCGTTAGCCTTATTTGTTTT